TTTTGTGTTTCATTGTGTGAATTATGTGTATGTCAATTGTGTGATTAACTTATTAGAGACAAAAAACTGATAGCTATGGCAAGAGTCTTATTAAAAACTGAGACTGACTCAAAACACTATTCCTAAAATTGACTCTTGCCTCAGCTGTTAAAATGAGTCCTAAAAGAACAGAATGGGACACTTCTCAATCTGCTCCTAAAAGTTCTAAAAAATAACTTATCAATGTACTGTGGCCACTGAGTTAATTTTTACATGTTCTTGAGCTCTTGAATCTATGCGTGCTTAAATTGACATTTATGGCATGCCTAATTTAAAACCTTTTTTACATACATGTATATTTAAACATCTTTAGGAGGATTTTTTATAAAATTACTGTAAAGAAATACAATAACTTCTGTTCTCTCCCCTACCTCTTCTGCTGTTACTTTTTAGAAAAACCAGTTTTTTAAGGTTATATTAATCAGGTCTAACTAATTACAGGCATTATTTTATGGACAGTAACCTTAATCTGTTTCATTTTGTCATAGTTATAATTTACATTCAATTCTTTTATAATTAGATCTATTAACAAAAGGTGTCTTTAAAAATAAGGCTAATTGAAAAAACAATTTTATTTAAATTTAAAATTTTATAAAAGTTGTTTTAAAATATGTTACAAAGTGAACAAGTAGAAAGGATACAGATAGGTATTGAGTGTATATTTTGGGGAAAAGTTAAAGGAAAAAAGAAATGCTTTTGGATGAGAAAGGATTTTGTAAAGATGGGTTTGTCCTAAAGATTGTTTCAAATATGGAGAGGAGGGATAAGGACAAACCATCAGAGGTTTGTTTGTATGTTGTACGAAGGTCTGAGTAAGTTTTAAAAGTGTATAATAAAAGCTTCAATGTGTGATAAAGTTAAAGTTGACAACAATCTAAGAGTTGCCTAAAAGAGTTTTTAGGGTCATGTCAAACTAAAATCTAATTTTCTATGTCAGTTTATGTAAAATGATGAGCGAATGCTCTCTTTTATCCAGAAGTGGTACCTTTAACTGACCAGCTAAAGTTGTTTATCCAAAAGCATTGCATATAAACCTTTGACATATAAAATGCTTACTGAAACTTTTGGCAGGTGTGCTGTTTATAATCAATAACACTCAGAAAAACCTTGCCATTTGAGCAATCTTGCTACTTACAATCTGGCCTATATTACTTTTAGTCAAATAAGTGTTACTGTATATGTATAAAATGTAACTGTACATCAAAAAATAAGGCTATTTGGGATCACAGGCATTGGCCCCCTAACCTTAAAGAGATCTAACGTTAACGATGCTAGACTTTTGCAAGCTTGTGTCCACGTGTTCCTAATTATAACAAGGAGCATTAGTGATGCTGTTTTAATACTATCAGTCATACTTATTTTTCTAAAAATGCAGTCTACAATGGAAATAATTAAATGTCTGACAATTCCCAAACTACTTTTCAGTATTTTAACTATGGCCATTCTAAGTCTTTTCATTCTCAGTCTGGGTCCTTCTTCAGAGCATTTGCAATTACCCAGTACCTATTTTCAATTGAGTCGGCCTTCTAAATATTTATTTTTGTTGGCTTTTTTCAAAAATTATTAGGTGATATAAATTGGCTACATCCAGCCTGTGCCCGTGAGGAGGTACGCCTATGGCTTTGTCCTCTAGCAGGTGTGATGTTACTAACATTCCTATCTTTTGGACGAAGTGTTATGTCATGCTGTCATTGATATCCTTTTGTTTTTGCCGTCTCCAAGATCAGAGAAGCACACCCATGTCATAGTACTGTTTAGAACCGCCTTTGTGGTGAGGCAGCCTGCTTCCACATAAAATGACAAGTGGTCCGGCGTACATCTACGCTTTAAGGCTTCTTGTTCCTCTAACAAATTCTCGAATACCACAGGCATATCCTAGCACAACCAAGGCCAAGCTATAGTGGAACAAGTCACCAAGACTTTAACAGTTCAAGATTACAAATACAGAAGGGGGAGACAAGTCTCGCCCGGCCATCAAATTACAAAGCTCTTTTTACTTTAATTTTTAAAGTTCCTCTGAATACGGCTTACTCCAGCTGAAAAACATTGGGAACATCATAGAACAACATTTGCCACAGGTATTGTGGAAAGATATGAGTGGGCCTGCAAGGCCCTGCCAGGTCTTGTTATGGGGCCGAGGCCATGCTAGGCTTTTTGTTCCTCCTACAAAATTCTCCATACCACAGGCATATCCTACAATCCCCAAGGCCAAGCCATAGTGGAACAAGCTCACCAAACTTTAAAAGTTCAATTACAAATACAAGAAGGGGGAGACAGCTTCCCAGACACTCAAATTAGCAAAGCTCTTTTTACTTTAATTTTTAAAGTTGCTCTGAATCTGGCTTTACTCCAGCTGAAAAACATTGGGAACATCATAATAAACAACATTTGCCACAGGTATTGTGGAAAGATATAATGAGTAGGGCCTGGCAAGGCCCTAGCCCAGTCTTGTTATGGGGCCGAGGCCATGCTTGTGTTTTTCCTGAAGATGCAGAAAGCCCAATTTGGGTACCCTCATGGTTTGTGAAGACGCATGGAGCCCATCAGCCATCAGATGAAGAAGCTCCACCTGATGGAGGAGGAGCAGAGCCCAAGCCCACTGAAAACCAAACCAATGGAGATCCTGTCACTTGGAAGCGATAAGGAACCACCCTTACCAGTCCTACAAGAGGCAATTTCATCACCTTGACAAATGCAGTAAAACAACCCAGGGATCTACTCCCCCAGCTTGGGGTCAAATAAAATACTTGGTGGATATGGCCAAGAATGCCATTAAGGGGTGGGGACAGGAAGAAACACCCACTGTTCTTCTGCTAGCTATGATTACCATCATTAGTCAGCAGGTAAATGCCGCAGAGGCCCAGAACTCAGTACACTGGGCTTCTGTGCCTCATCCACCTCTGCTTCATGCAGTTACCTGGAAAAAGTCCATCTATATCAGTTTTTACTAATGACTCTGAGCTGGTAGGAGGTCACTCCAGTGGACACCTGGTTCCTACTTTCACTAATTATAATTTTACAGGACAATCTGTTACTTTACCCATATGTCTGGGGAATTTGCCTTATTGTCTCCCTCTCATGCCTATTCGGAAAAGTGCTCTGCTATGAAACAGTACTCAGTTTCTTGAAAAAAAACTAGAATTTTTCACCTTTAATGCCACTCAGCCACATAATGCTACACATTGGCCTCACATTTCCTGCTGTCATGACAAATGCAATCCCTGGCGCCCCCATAAGGGAGCCTCATGGGAACAATGTATATCTGCTTCTCCAATAGCCATTAATATTACAGGCTATAAGCTGTGTATTGGTCTTATAATGACACTTCTGAAACTAATATTATGGGGTATTGGACCACCCCTCTTGTGGGACCAGATGGAGGAACCATTCAATCAGATATATGGAAACTAATATCAATCTAAGTAGCCATTCAGGCAGCTCTGTTGTTAAGGGATTGCAAGCTTGTGTTCAACATCATTTTTCTTTATTGGCTGGATCAATTAACATTTCTAAAAATAGAACTGTTTTTGATATCTCTTGTTCTAATTGCAATTTAACTTCATGTGTGGACAATTACATAAATGGCAGCCTACTTATAGAAAAACAAAGCCCCTATATCTTGGTACCTACAAGTTTCACAGGACAATGGTATCATGATAGAGGACTACAGGTTGTCAAAGAAATAAAATCACTATTAGTAAGAGACAAAAGATTTGTAGGATTCTTGATAGCAGGCACTGTGGCAGCCATCACTGCTATTGCCACCATGACTACTGCTGCAGTAGCCCTCTCCCAAAGCATTCAAAATGCTCATTAGGTTAATACCTTGACACAAAATGTCAGTTATGCCTTTCAACAACAACTTGCTATACATGAAAAAATTGATATCCGCTTAAATTCTCTAGAAGCTGCTTTGCTGGCTATGGGATGAAGTTCAAACGCTGTAATTCCGTTAAGATTTTACTGTGCCATGCAGGCTTCCAACATATTTGTGTCACTGCAGCACTCTACAATGCCACAGACTTCCCATGGAAATTCGCTAAAGCACATGTCATGGGAGCCTGGGAAAATAACGATTCCATTAACCTACAGCCTTAAGACAGCAAATTTTAGCCATGCAGCGAGCACACGATCAGGTGGCTGCTCCTGCAAATACAGCAAAACCTATATTAGCTGAATTACAAGGATTTAACCCTTTTAATACTCTGAAATATTCCTTTTGGTATTTCATTGGCATCGTATAATTAATAATTTATTGTTTTTGCTTACTTTTAGTTGGAACTCGAAAGATCAAAAGGCAACCCCTCAGACATAGAAAGGCATTGGGAGCTTTTAAGGAATAGAGTAGGGGGAGATGTTGGGGACCAGGCATGAACCCTGACCAGACGTGAACTCTGACCAGGCATGAACCCTGGACTGGGATATAATGGAGTTTTCACAGCCTCTCCATGGTAGAAGTTTGCACAGCTTCTCCTACCATAAATTTCCCAGTACCTGGTGTCTTGACCTTTGTTCTCGCATCTCCTTGAAGAATACAACCTGCTGTGTCCTCATACCAGCCCCCTGATGCAAAACTAAATAAAATATAAAATCTGTTAGGAGATTCCCTGATGCCAGGTTAATCAACACCTTAGATAAGGTGTCCTGTGTGCCTTGATGATTCCAGAACTGATGTGCTATAATTAAGCTTCATCAGTCTTAGGAAAATTAGCCCACTAAACCTCATTCCTTTCACCTTAAATCAAAGAATTGTTAAAGCTTGATGTTTACCTGAGTCTTTTCCTTGTACTGACCTATAAAATAAACACTCTGGCTCAGGTAGGCGCTCACGTTTCCCATCAGGAACGTGCAGCCCTCCCTTCCCCAGCTTTCTGTTGTATGTCTGTGTGTCTGTGTGTGTCTCTTTTCTCATTCCCCTGACACTCTTAGTCAGGTTCACTCAGCATACCCACGCAGGTCGCAGGCAACAAACAGTTGCTGTGAATGATGCGACCAAACCAAGGGATGGTTCCTTACAAAAACAACACAGAAGACTAAAATCAGGCAGAAAAAGGACAACCATCACCTTATTTCAAGCACACAATTTCATCACAAAGGATATTTTTATAACATACAGATGTACACTTAATTCTTCACAGGTCCAGGAATGTAACAGCTTGACTAAATGGCTACTTACACAATTTATAGACTTCCAAATGACAGTCCCAAACTTGACAGAACAGTGAGTGACTATACAATTCTACCTAATAAACTCTTCCTAAGTAGAATGTATAACAAGACAGACACTTCATCGTTCCTGCTTCTCCTCGTAGACCATCCGTGTTCACAATTCGTTCTCATCTATCTCTGTAGGAAAAGTGCTTGGGGTGAGATAGGATGAATAACCCCCATCCTCAGGTATGGGAGTCTGGGCTGGCCAGTTGTTTTCTTGCAACAGTGGTCTTGGAGACAAAATAAAGTGAGTCTGAAAAGATTCCAACGACTCTCCATCTTCCTTCTCCAACAGGAACTGATACTCGCCAAATCTGACCATGCACCTGTAGGGCAGGTCCATTTTATTGAGATAGCCCAGCTCCTGACTGTCCACAATCAAACTGGTCTTCTTACTCATATTTTTTATTTCAAAGGAGAGAACTGAGCTATTGAACTGTTTAAACGGCTGCAGAGAAAACTGGACTCGGGAAACCTGTTTGTCCTGAAAAGTGTAACGACAGATGCTAGAATTTCGTCCAAATTTCACCACTTCACCGGAGGGGAGTTTCTCTCTATTGTAAAACTCTATTGACTGAAATACTCCATTGTGAGACTTTCCAGAATGGTACACAGTCACATGAAGACAAGTTAATGTCTCTTCTGTGTCAGCATCTTCAAAGTTGGACATGATGCGTCCAGATGACCCACCTGCAACAGTTAAGCCACCAAGTTAGTTCAACACGTACTGCAAGTGCCGAGAACCGATATGCGATTTATTTGGACCTTAAATCAACAAAATCACAGATAGGCTGAGTGCAGTGGCTGCAGCCTATAATCCTAGCTACTTGGCAGGCAGAGATTGGGAGGATCTTGGTTGGAGGCCAGCCAGGGCAAACAGAGTTCACAAGACCCCATCTCAACCAATGGCTGGGTATGCTGGTGCATGTCTGTCATCCCAGCTTCTCCAAGAAGCACAAATGAGAGGATTGCATTCTGGGCCCACCTGGGCATAGAGTAACCAACACAAAAAGGGTTGATAGAGTGGCTCAAGTGGTAGAGTACCTGACTAGCAGTCGAAAGGCCCTGAGTTCAAATCCAAGTATCACTCAGAAAAGAAACTTTCAGGTAACAATGTGTGAAACCTCACACAAAGCCCTTTCTCCATCCCTTTCTCCATCCCTTTATGAAAACATATCTAGTTTGGTCATAAGACCAAACACGTAATCTGGACAATAACAAGGAATTATTATTGACAATAAAGTGATTTAGGAGAAGCAAAGAGACCTTAGTTCCTTTCTCGTTTAAATGGAGGGACTTCAGCCCAGAGAAAATATGACAGTTGTACTTAAAAAAGAAAATCAGCAAATAAAGAATCTGGTTTGAATCTCTTCAGAGGATACACACATAAAGAAAGCCTACAGTTTATTACTTGTATTACAATGACTTTTTTTCTTTTCTTTTTGTGGTACTGGGGCTTGAACTCAGGGGCTACACCTTCAGCCACTTCACCAGCCCTTTTTTTAGTGATGGGTATTTTCAAGATATGCCTATGGAAGTCTGGTGCTTTGCTCCTTGTGCTTGCGAAACAGGTATCTGGTGATTTCACAAAAACTTGAGGAGATTAAGTCTTTCCGGGAGCTGACCCGGCTGGATCTTTCCTGTTGCAAGCTAGGAGACGAGCATGAACTTCTAGAACATCTCACCAATGAGGCCCTGTCCAGTGTAACTCAACTCCACCTGAAGGATAATTGTTTATCTGATGCCGGTGTACGGAAAATGACAGCACCAGTTCGAGTAATGAAAAGAGGCCTTGAAAATCTAACACTGTTAGACTTATCTTGTAACCCTGAAATCACAGATGCTGGAATTGGATACCTCTTTTCTTTTAGAAAACTAAACTGCTTAGATATCTCTGGGACTGGGCTCAAGGACATCAAAGCCGTCAAGCACAAGCTCCAGACCCACATAGGCCTTGTTCACTCCAAAGTGCCTTTGAAGGAATTTGATCATACAAACTGCAAGACAGAAGGCTGGGCTGACCAGATCGTTCTGCAGTGGGATCGTGTGATCATGGAGTCCATGAAGCCACGAAGAAGCATGGACATTAGAAAGACAACTCAGTACTTCTATGAGACACGGGCTCTAATGGAAGCCTCAAGGAAGTGTCCTCTGGCAGACACCCATATGAACTCTTCTGGAAAACTCCAGTTCTACAGAGAGAAAGCCCCGGACCGCCATGGGCCATTGTTGAAACATGAAGCTGCCTTGAGCCAAGAGTCAAAGAAGAGCAAAAAGAGAGGCTTTGAGGATTCAGAGCAAGAGCAGAATAACTCTTCCCAGTCTTCAAAGCAGAAATATGTCTGCCTGGCTGTGGAAGACTGGGACTTGTTAAATTCCTACTAACTGGCAGATAGAAGTGGACCTCTCTCCCTCAGCGCTGATGTGTGAGGAAAGGAGGCCAGTGATGACTTACTTTTTGTTTGAATTTACCTATGGCATTAGCATAGCAAGCAGATATTTCTACTTTTGTGGTGGGGAAGGGGAACGCTATGAAAGTATGTAATAATTTCTAATGTATATTTTCAATACATAGTAATTTTTTCAAATTAAAAAAAAAAAAAAAAAAAGATAGGGTCTCGCGAACTATTTCCCCAGGCTGGCTTCGAACTGTGATCCTCCTGATCTCTGCTGCCTAAGTAGCTAGGATTACAGGCCTAAGCTATGGGTGCCGGCTGCAATGACATTCTTATAAACTGTGCAACTTTGTTAAATAGGCAATTAAAAAATCATCAACAAACAATTGCGACATTTATGCTTACATCTAATTTTAATTTGTTAGATAATGGTTAAAGATTAGCATATTCTATAATCTTACAAGTTAGACACTGCTTTTTAAAAAATAAATCTCCCCCAGATAGTTCTAAATATCAGAGTCTGCTCTGATCATGGAGTTAGTTGTTTTTGTTTGTGGTTTCTGGTGACTGGCTGAACAAACAGTCATCAACCACCAGCGCTCCAGCCAAATGCTGTCAACCCCATCCCAGAGCCCCAGACCCCGAGGTGCTCCATGTCACCAAGCCTTTACCTGTGATCATCAGTGGAATATTCTCAGTGGTGGAACAGAAGAGAATTAGTTCCTAAAGTTTTGGTGAAGTTGTGCTGCACAAAACTGCCATTTAAAAACCAACTTCGTTTTAAAATTACACTGCATATGCTTTAACAATTCAAACAATAATCAGGACTTTAAAACAAGTCTCTTTCCCCAGCCTCTTCCTGTCCTAGAGCTTACCGATATAAAAGTTGCTTTTTCTTTTCATTTGTTTTAGAGACACAGTCTCACTGGTCTCCAACTTGCATCCTGTGTTTTCACAACCTGAGTGCTGGGATTGCCGGCATGCACCACCATACCCAGTTTAAATGTGGCTCTTAACCTCACAGAAACTTTCTTCACATCTACACAGTTCTGTCTTTTGAACAAATCCATCAGCCAGGAAAATTTTGCTCCACATGGGCTCTTATTCCTAGTTCCCAGGGCTGGATTAAAGTCAGGGCCTGTGAGCATCTTAGTGTGTGTGAATGGATGATCAGGATTTGAACCACCGATGAGCCTCAGAGTTCACAGTTGTAATTCCCTCCTAACAATCAGTGACGGAGCTTGTCAAATACTGTTACCTCTGGTCAGCAGTTCTGACCCTTTAGAAAGGTGACTGACAGGTCGACCCCTGCACATCGTGGATTCACTCCATTAACAAATATGTCAACATGAATGTAACATGAGTGGAACGTGAGCAAAAACTACTTCTGGGAAAAAGCTCTAAAAGACTGCATAGTTCCACCATCCCCCTTTCCCATGTCAGCTTCAGCAGTTCCCAAAAGGAGTTCAGCCTGGGTCCCAGAGGGAAGGTACAGACAGATACATAAAGGACATATAACATCAGCAAGAAAATCCACACTTCCTCCTTGAGATTTTTGTGGTCATTTTTTACTACACCATAAAGTAGCCTGAGCTGACAAATGCATTCCTCCATCTTATCAAGTTACAAAAGGACAGTTCTAAGAGTTGCTACTTACTATAATCTTCAAAATAACCCTACAAGTTGCCACTTCACAGATGAGGAAGCGGGTTCTCAGGGGGTTTAAACAACTGGCACAGGTCACCAATGCAGTGCCTAAGCCAGGACTTAACTCTGAGGCACCCTCTCTTATCACTGCAAATACTGCCTCCCTGGCTACTCCACAAACTATCACAGTTCCCCTATAGAGAATGGGCCTCAGAGGCCTGTGTGCCACAGCCAGCAAGATACCAGCCTAGACTGGACAGCTGGAGAGGGCAATACTGTTAGTGCAGCTTCTCGAGCACCTGCTTATGGTAGCAGCTACCCCGAGGCCTGTGTTTAAATATGAGCAGGGACCTAGTCGCTAGTAATTGTGACTGGTTGTTTTGGGGAGCTCCAAAAATGAATAAATCGTGGTCTCTGTCCTCAAAAACTTAGAAGCAAATCTATTGGTTAATCCCCAAAGCCACAAAGTGGCCTGAATCCCTCGTATTTCAGAGCGGTCAGCAGAAAACCAGGCAGAAACTGACAAATAACTAACAAAATACATTTAAGATTGGTGGATTTTTTTCTTTAATCACTAGTGTGTAAGTGCTCAAAAAAGCTATTCAAAAATCTGTTAGTCTTAAATTACCAAATAAACAAAGCTTATATAACGGTAACAGTGAGTGCCTCTGGTGAGGAGCCCTAGGGGACCAGGAGCAGGAAAGAGACTTACTTTTCACTACACTTTCTGCACCTTTGAAATTTTACAACATGTACATTAAGACATCTTCAATATTTATTATTTATAAAAACCAAAAATTTTTCTGTACACAAACCATCGGATTTTGTTTAACTAAATAGACCTGGAGATTAACAAAATATCAGGACCAAGCAAACTGATATCTGCTATCACAAAGTTGTAAAACACTGGGGATGTCTAATAGTAACATCTGTGTTGAATTCTGTTAAATAAAGAAAGAAATAAAAACTGGTGGAGTGGCTCAAGTGGTAGAGCATCTGCATAGCAAGCGTGAGGCCCTGAGTTCAACTCTCAGTACTGCCAAAAAGAAAGAAAAGGAAAGAAGGGAGGGAGGGAGGGAAGGGAAAGAAAGAAGAAAAAGAAGGGAAGGAAGGAAGGAAGGAAGGAAAGAAAGACCAGCTGTGATATCAGGAACTTTATCATTGAAACAAGGCAGAGGCACTGAACTCTTGAGTATAGGAAGAGAAGTTAAACTGTCCTGTGCTGGACCCCAGGAAGTACACACTCACTTGGAAGTCTGAGAACTGGGGACAAAGGCTTACAGTCAGATTCCAGCAAAGGCTTCTAATCCTCTCTAGGGAAAGAACAGTGTATGTGTATAGAGGTGTTGTGTGCAAAAACATCAATGGCATTCCCACCCCAACATCAAAAGAACAGTGTATGTGTATAGAGGTGTTGTGTGCAAAAACATCAATGGCATTCCCCACCCCCAACATCACACAAACACACTCCCCCACAAGCTATCCTTTCCCCGCCCCCGAAGTCCTGTAAAACCAGTGAAAAGACATATTGCCATGTATTGCAGAAGGGCGTTTGACCTTCTGATGTCATAAATGAAAAGCTATTCGGAGATATTTTTACTAAAAGGAGCCAGGTGTCCAAACATGCTTTGAGAGTTTGGTTTTTTTTTTTTAAAGAAAGCTGGCTGTCATAAGGGAGTTTCTTCTGGATGAAGCGTTAGGGAAGATATCCTTCTCAAACTTTTACCTTCATCTCTCCGGGTCCCAGGTCCCCATTGATACTCTCTAGAGAGACTATGTGATTTCAAGTAGGAAGTTTCCATTTTTAGGGAAGGCTTTTTCGCTGACAAATGCCCAACACTGAGCTATTAGGAGGAGAAGAGAAACTTGGACGCACAACCAAAGGCCAAGTAGTCCTCCTGCCCAACCCTCGCAGCCCATCGCCCTGCGGCGCGGGGAGGCTTTGCAGGAGTCGTGAACCCCAGATCTGCAGAGCTGTTCAGCAGGATCCACATTTCCTGAGCTCACAGATCTTGCAAAAGAAGTGGAGAAAACCAAAACACGGCGGGAGGAGAGGCCTGAATGGAGCTGTGCGTTTTGCGAAAGACCGTGTCTTCTTGCTCCCACTCCGCGCGCTGTTGGCTGGCCTGTCCGGCATTTGAGAAATTCCTCTTTGCGAGCTGAAAGCTAGGGAACCTCCTAAGGATCCAGAATGCAGCAGGGGCTCTCGGATGAGCCCAGGGCTGGGGCAGAAAAATCTAGCTGGGCCAAAGACCGCGCGGGGTGGTGGGGTGCAGGGACGCGGGGGGCCCGGGGACCACGCGCAGCCACTTTACTCGCCACGCTGCATAAGTGCCATTCTAGAAAAACTCTGCAAAGCACGGGAAGGTACAATATCTCCAATATTTTTTCAGTGCCTCATTATATAGGTATCCCCATGTCTTAGAAGGATGGATCACGCTGTCTATAATTCTTTAAAACCTTTCCTTAGCATACGATGAGTGTCTGCTTGAGAACCAAGCCAGGAGGAGCAGCGGGTGATGACGTTTATACGACACCCCGAAAACTTCCTTACAAAGCTGCCCTTTCGGGGGGAGAAACAGACACCGTCCCCACAGCGCCCCCAGATCGCTGGCCAGCAGGTACCTTGGGAATTGGGAGTCCGCGAACCTTCTCAAGCAGCTTCGCTTTCGGGAATCGGAGCCCGTGGACCTGAGACTCGGGGTTGGGACCGTCCTCGGCCACCCCGCGTCCGCACCAGACTCGGGAAAGCGCCCGGGTCCCGCGTCGGTGTGCGCGGAAGCGCGTGCGGTGGAGCGCGGGGCGCGGGTCCGCGGGGCGCGGGTCCGCGGGGCGCGCCTCTGCTCCCAAAGGCCAAGTGCAGCCCGCAGCCGCGAGCCTCCCATAAGGCTGGCCGAGGGCGGGAAGGTTTTCAGACCCGCCCACCCGGGCCCGCCCCTTCCTCCGAGAGGTCCCTGCAGCCAACGAGGTCCGGTCCCACCAGCAGCCCTGCCCCACTGCCGCCTATCGGCCTCATGACCCGCCTTGATGCGCAATGCACTGACAGGAACCGCGCCTTCCCAGAGAGGCCTCTCTAGAGAGCACGTGATTTCGAAAACAAGGGAACGTGAGTCACCTCAATATTAAGGACGACTTTACCCCACAACGGTTTGCCCTGGGTTCTCGGGCAGGCAGGTGACTGAGGATAACAAGCCAGCCACGCATGGCTGAGCTCAATGTATACTAGAAAGCACATCCCCCTCACAGATGAGTAAACTGAGCCCAGGGAGTAGTTAAGTGTTCTGGCCAGCAAAAGCCGAAGTAGGATTTGAACCTGTTCTAGGATGCTCTCGCCTAACACCCAAGTGATCCAGGTGCATCCTCCCCGCCCCCACACCCTGAAGGGATTTTTCATTCAGGAACCCAGGGCCTGGGGTTCCACAAGTAAAGGATGGCACAGAATTACTCTTCTGGGGTCTTCATAGCTCAGAGTGAACAGGTAATACCACTTTTCTGTCTCAGAAAGGTTTGGAATGAACTAAAGATGGAGAAAGCCACCTTTAACATGTGTCAAGAGGCAAATAGGAGGTGGACCCTGTGTAAGGAGAAAAGAGACTGAAAATACAGGAAGGACTCAACGATGTGGCTGAGGTCATCGTAGTCTTCCTCAGATTTGGGAATCCACTCACTGATTCTGAGTCAGCCCAGGGAAGCCACTCATGTGTTTGGATTCTTTACATAAGTTCAGGACATTTGCTTGTTTGTGGGTCATTTTTCACTGACAATAAAAATATATGGATGCTTGGCCATAAAGGAAATGCAAATCAAAACTACATTAAGATTCCATCTCACCCCTGTTAAAACCTCTGTCTTCAAGAAAACAAACAACAAATGCTGGCGAGGAAAAGGAAACCCTCATACACTGTTGGTGGGAATGCAAATTAGTGCAGCCACTATGGAGAACAGTATAGCGGTTCCTCACAATAAAAACTACCACATGAGCCTGCTGTACCACTCCTAGACATATATCCAAAGGAATCAAAGTCAGCATATATTAGCTACTTGTACACCCATGTTTTTTGAAGCACTATTCACAGTATTCAAGTTATGGAGTCAGCCTGGGTGCCCATCAGTGGATGAATGAATTTTTTTGTTAATGTGCTATATATACACAGTGTAGTGTTATTCATCCATAAAGAAGAATGATGTTATGTCATTTGCAGAAAATGGACTCAACTTGGAATCATCATGTTAAATGGAATAAGCCAGACTCAGAAGACAAATATCATGTGCTTCCTCTCATATGTGGAATCTAGATTTAAAAGCAAAAAGACATGAAGGTAAAAAGGGACTATCTGGTGGGGGAAACCTGTAGGAGGGGGAAGAGGAACAAGAGAAGTACATTGTATTCATGTACAAAAATATCATACTGAAACCCATTGTTTTGTAAAATAAGAAAAGGGTGAAGGAGGCTGAATATAGTAGAAATATTACATTTTCATGTATGAAAATGGAAAAACGAGACCTGTTGAAACTATTGTAGGAATTGGGGAAGAGTGGATAAAGAAGAATGATGGAGGGGTGAATTCAACTATGATATGTTGTAAGAACTTTTACAAATGTTGCAATGTACCCCCAACACAACAATAATATGATAGTAAAATTTTTCCATAATAAGAAAATGAAAAGATCATTAATTTTTTTAAAAAATTATCTATTACTTCGTCTAATAGAGAGGCTCTGAGGGAGGGGTTAAGTTTTGAACTCTGCAAGGTAAGTGTAGTCCCATGAGTAAGTTCTGGGCAAGGAAGTGTGCATCTAAGTTGAGGTCGATTCCTGTAAGGGCTGCAATTTTGTTCGTTAATCATCAACATTTATTGTTTCTTCTCTGGAGCAGAGACAGTGGGGTGTCATCTTTCAGTTAAAGAGTGTTAGAACAGGTGGAAGATAAGGCATATAACTTGGTTGTGCCAATAAACTCATGCAATAAAATAATATTACCAGAATTGGAGTTTCTGCTCTCTGATCTTACAAATTAGATCAAGTAAGATGGTGAAATGCTGTATAAACTGAAAAAGATCATATAAGTGGGTGGTTTTTGTTGTTGCTCTTGTTTTGGGTGGTACTGGGGCTTGAACTCGGGACCTGATGCTTGGTAGGCAAGAGCCATACTCTCGGCCCCCAAATAGATGCTATTAGCACTAATAGAGAAAATGTAACAGTTGCTAAAATTCAAGGTGCTAGAGATTGTTCTCTTTTTCTGTTTCACTGAAGATGACTTAACCCAGAATGACACTTTGAACAAGCATTTAGGTTAATATTAGAATTTAATTTTAGTGACAATTATTTCCCTCTGACAACTGGTGAAAAATTTTAAAACTGAAAATGGCCCATGAGAACTGAGAAACAGCCAAAGGCATGCACTTGACAGATTTCTGTTCCCTAAAGGTTTGAGGGGACTTTTGACAGCAGTTGGGGTTAACTGCCTTGCTTCTGTCCTTTCCAATAGCTGCCCTGTGGTCATTCCAGCAGTCTGGTTTTGCCAGTCTTCATGAAAACTGACAAAAGGCCCAGAAGAATCTCTAAAAGCTTCAATGGGGCCAAAACCACAAAGAAATGTGGCTCTGTGCCTTTGTGTTTCTATAATTTCAATTTGTTGAATTTTCTGAAGATCCTTAGGGGACATTTACAAACTAAATGATTTAAATCACTCATATCTAAATTAGGCAAAGTAACTTATAATTTATGGTTTATTATTGTCCCTGTTTGTGCAAAAGCATTAAAGTTATTTTTAAATGCAAGGATCATTTTGCAGATTTACTACAGATTTTACTTGTTTTATTTTTATTCAAGGTCAAAATTCAGAGTAACATTAGCTTTTATAGAAAAACATGAACATCATTCTTTGTAATGAATATGGCTTTACTGTTACAAGAACACAGTAGGACTTTATGCAATGACAGGTTAGTAAATTACAGAGTGAGAAAGTCCTCAACCAAAGTTACATCAGACTGGAGAAATGGACATTTTTAGCCCCTGTTACACATCTGCTGATGAGAACCTGCCTGCTGGACAGGGCTTCGTATTTACAGCTTCCTTTTTGAAGAGGAATAACAACAACAAAAAAATCTTTTGGTTGTGTCATTTTAACACATTCATTCTTTGGTCCTGAAGTGGCCTCCAAGAGTCAAACTTTCTCTTGCACTTAGATCTGCTCTTGGGTTGCCAACACCATTTAAATTAGGCCAAGTCATTAAACTCCTTTCCTGTGAATTTAATGAAGGTTTTGGTGGCTTTTAAACTTAGTTCACTTCCCTCGACACAGCCAAACGATTTTTGTGGCTGAGGGATTATAAGAAGTGTAGTAAATGCTTCCAGGAAGAGATTAAAAGGAACTCTTTAGGGAAATGGATACCTCAAATGCTGAGCTTGAATGTTTACCCAATGAAAACAGTAGGTATGTATGTTCGTGATAGAAAATAAGGAATTACCTCTTTGAAATTTTAATGACTAAGCATTTACTTTGAAAATAACATAAAATGCCCACAATCCAACATATTTCTATCTATCTTTAAGCAACTTGAAATGTCCAAGTTGTGTTGCTGTTAAAAAATGGTAAATCTTGTTTCAGCTATCCTATTCAATAGATGGTGTCCCACTGGTAACTGTTTCCCATCATCACCCCTTAACCCTGTGATACAGGTTCCATGTAAAGTCTAATAAAGTTACTTGACTGTTTGGGACTGCAAAAATATTTTGCCATGGAAAGAATCTTAAGACTATTTTTTAGATATTTTCTCTAGTCCATCATTAATCCTATTTTATTTCACTTAAAATCAAAAAATAGAAAAAGATAGCTTGTGGTAACAATCATACCATATAGAAAATACGAGAACGACTTGTGTCTGTGTTCCTTGCTGATACTTGGGTTTCTGTTCAAGAAAGCACCTCAGACACACACTCCTTTGACTCCCATCTCCCTCAGACCCTCAGATTCGGAGTAACTGAGCTCTGGTTTGCCCCCCTCATGGCCAGTGCTCTCTGCCACTCTGTGAAAACATTTGGAATCCTCAGAGACATCTCACCCAGCAATTTTTCCAGTAGTCCCAACACGAGGGACAGGAAGAAGCTAGACATGTTTGGATAGGATGGGAACCAAGACAGCTGAGTGCAGAAGCTTCTTCCTCCTAGTGTCAAGTGACCACGATTAAAATGAACAATTTGGGCTGGGGGAGTGGCTCAAATGGTAGCTGCACCTGCCTAGCAAGCATGATGTCCTGAGTTCAAGTCCCAGTACCGCAAAACAAATTAAATAAATAAAATGAACAATTTGGTTTTATGTGGAAAGACCTAGAGAATACACTGCTCCAGGATAAAAACAAAAAGAACAACAAACGAGTACAAAACAAAATTACTACCATTTGTGGGAAATGTGTGATCGATCTGTAAGGAGACCCAAGATCATATTGGTTAATTCTGAGAATAACATGTGAAGGGAGGGAAGAAGGCAAAAGTAGAGGAGATATTTGGCATTGTGTATTTTTTAGACTATTCGGATTTTGTAATCATTTGAATGTATTAGTTACACACACACATACACACACACACACAGCTAATTAAAGAGGAGCCAAGTAAGAGGAATCCTTTGAGACTCAGGTCTCAATGTTTTAATGCCTCAGTGTCTTTCATATGATGGAGACTGCAACAACCTCAGGGTCTCAAGACAGTGCTCAGATGAGGGCAACACTGGATTGGATGCCTAGAGACAGGGCCCCTAGAAGGCACAGGGAAGGAAGGAGTCAGTCTGTCTTGGGCTCCAGTTCTGCCCTCCCTGGAGGCAGTATAGGAAAGTAGCTGTGGCAGGCAGAATTCTAAGGAGGGGGGAAGGGTAGCTTGCCCCCCAACCCCTCACCCTGTGTAAATAATTTGTATAATCAACCCCTCTCAAGGAGGGCATGAGGAAGACAGACCTGTAAATATAATAGGATGCCACCACTGTGCTTTGCTTCTTAATCACTGGCCTTTGGGTTCATCCAAAGGAAGCTGGTCTGGCTTGGTTGCTGAGTTGTAATCAAGTGAGTTCTGAAAATGAATGATCCCTCAAAGAAATTAAAGACACAACTTCCTGCTCGTCTGGAAGCAAGCAAAGGTCATGCCAGAACTGTCTATGGAGGCCTCGTGGAAGCAACTTTGGTGACATCTAAGAACCAGGAGTAGCCTAGCCAGCAGCTAACAGGCAAATAGGGACCTTAGTCCGTAATAGGAAAGGGGCTGGAAGGAGACCCCCAGCCTCAGGTGAGAACGGTAGCATTCTCAGTTGTCATGCACCCAGACTTCTGACTGACAGGAACCTTGAGATAATCATGATGCTGTTTTGTTTATTTGTTTGTTTTGTATATTATAGAACTTTATTATTCCCCTAAATACTTAAAAACTCACAAAATGTCCATGCTGTAGTTATGCCATCATTTATAAATACTGAAAATGCATCTTTGTTCATAAATATTGTACAGGTAATTTAATGGGTGCTATTTTAAGCTGCACATTTTGTGGTAGTTTCTTACACAATAGAAAACTAACATAGTTGCTTTTGTTAGAGGATCCCAGTTGATTACAAGGGTCCCCAAGGCATTCTGGGCTCTGAAGCTTCCAGTCACCTACTACGAGAGCCAGAGGTCATGGAAGCAGGAAAGCAAAGCAAAAAAACCCCAAAAATGGCATGTGTCTGTGTTATTTTGCCTGTCATATACCTCCAAGTCAAGTATCAGTCTTCCTTGTTGGATCCAAATTTTCTCAACTAGTACTCCTATAGTGTGATTTTTTAGTTAAAAAACACTTCTTTTCACTTTCCCCTAAAATAAAATAGGACATATTGGCTCAGAAAAAAATGCCTGACCTGGACTAAAGTCTCCATCTATCCTCTATGTCTGCTTCTTTCATTGTTTTTACTACCATTGTGTTGTTAAGTATGTACATAATTTTGAGAAGAAAGTTCCAGAATAGCATTCTGGCCATTATCCCTTGCTATTTGTGGCTTCATACTTATGACATAATTAATTGTATGATAAAATAATTATGGCTATTTTGAGGTCATCTTGCTCCAACACTGATAGAACAGGAAAAGTATCAGCCCTTCCCAAAATATGCTGCTCTTGAATAGTTTATTTAATCTAGGTTTAGACTGGAAGGTTCTCTTCCTATTCAACTTAGTCATCTTTCTAAGATTTAAAAAATAGTTCATCATCAGTTTTCTGTCACCACACCGCTGATTTGTTCTTGTAAAGCCATCCTCGCCTTCTTGTAAAGCCAGTGGACACTGTTCTGTGCTCACCTGACATCACTTCTCTGCATCATTTCGGACTGTTGACCACTCCTACTTCATTGCATCTGTGATCCAAACCACTGTCACTCTCACCTGCTTGGCGTTTAGGCAGGGCTGGCTTCATGGGTGTGTGTCCTGTGCAGTGTTCCCTGCTTGGCTCTGCGGTGACTTTCTTGAAATTTTTAATTTTAGAACAAAAAGTCCTCCGAATTATGTTGCTGGTCTTCTTTGGGAGGCATAAATTTGTTGTTGTTGTTTTTTCCATTGCCATTCTAGGCAGTCTTTCCCCAAACTCCTCTGTAGACTCCTCTTTTTCTACTTAAATCCAAGGCTGAGGGTGTAGCCAGTGGCACAATGCTTGCCTGGTGCTTAAGGGATAGCCAGTTGTAAAGTAAATGAGGCTCTGATTTCAGACCTGAAAAAAAAAATAATAAAGCATCATCTACATAAGTCCTAATATTGCCAAGTTTCTTCTTGGTGGCCTTCTTTCCTCCTGTCCTTTCTCCCTTGCTAATCTCTAATTACAATTACAATTTTTTAAATCCCTCTTAGTCATTTGTCCATATTCTTATGTTCCTCCCCCAGGCTTAAGAATCTAGCTCCTAAATATTTCTTTCCTGCTTTTTTATTTCCACTGTTGCTGTCATTAATGAAGCCCAACTAAAACTTTTGCCTAAAATATTGCAGGGAGTCTTTGAAGTCATTTTCCTAACTCCTATCCTGTTATCTAATCCACCTGACATAAACCTTGCTTCATAATCCAACCTTCTAACTGTGGGTATTCTTTCTAAAACAGTTATATGGTGTTATTACCATATGCCTGAAATTTTTCTGATTCTCCAATGTTTTCAAGACAAACGTCTATGATCTAGAATGAAACACAATGCTCTCATATTATGAGCTAACTCCTGCCTATTTTTCCAGCTAACTTCTAGACATATCCATCACTGCGAATGCCTTATACACTCAGTCTGAATCTTCAACATATACGGCACTTGACATAAAACAGATGCTTTAAGCATGTTGTGTAAATGAGCGAGCAATATCAGCCCATTTTAGCATTTTACACTCAAATGATAAATCCTAGAAAACCAAAGTGGATATGATAGTATAACCAGTTCTCCTTAATGTGTCATAGTGTACTTCCTTTGTAGATATACATCTCAAGCATTTGTAATAATCGAAGCTTGTGCTTTTAAACTTCCTCTGCAAGGAATTATTGTCTTTGAAAATCTTCTGGAACTCTACATTATTATTGTATGTGAGGCATTATATCTTTGTGTTTCCATGGCTCTGGGGATTCTACCAGGAATCAGAGACAGATGTGACTGTTGTCCAAACTGTATGGAAGACAGATGAATCATTTATCTTGTCCCTCCTCTTTTATCAATACCCTTTATCTTTTCCAAGCATCCAATACCTTGTTTTAGAATATTCAGTCCTATAACAAACATTTATTTCTAACATTTTTATTTACCAACCCCCAAACAGTATTCTGCAAACCAATAACTCCCATATTTTTCAGTTGACATTCATTCATGTTTTATTATAATTTTAAATATTTGCAAAAGATCTAGGTGGGGCATTTAACAAACAAAATTCTTTTATACTCTTTTCAATGTGTCCAATGAAAATTAAATATGCTAGTAATCTCAGGTTCTCTGTCATCCATCTAAAAGCACATGCAAAATTTCCATTCTACTTCTGCCATAGAATTTTCTAATGTGAAAAGTTTACATGCTTCAAAGCTTTTATCATATTTCATACAATATTATATGTATGTATTGAAATTATTTTTACTTCCTCTTGACCATAAATATTAATATTAAACTTTTTAGAAACTTATTATATAAGTATTTTAATTCATAACTGGTTAAAAAGACAAAAATAAAATTATAGATTTGGGTGAATATTAAAAAATAAAATTTTATCTAAAAATACTTTTCTCAATGAGACTCATGGGATTTAAAAATACTTCATGGATGAATGTTATTTGTAGCTAAAATAAAATAATATTCCACAAAAGTACATACATACAAAAAGAGAGAAACTATACATAAACAGAGTTTGGTTATAGCAATGCCCAAAGATCTTTGAACCTCTTCTAAAGTCATGTATTAAAAACTCTGTAGCAATCTATATGAAATCTTTTTAAGTGATCTGGCTTCTGACTGCTTGAGTCTTTCCTTCTACTTTGTTGAGAGCAGAGTTGGAATCCATTCAGCTCACCAAATGATTTGTTGCCCAATAATTAGAGTCATTCGCTCAGTTTCTGGGAAGTAAACCAAAGGCTCTTTAAAACTTGTCATATTACTTTCAAGGAAATCCGTTACTCCTTCACTCTAGAGTAAACTTCAACCCAGCAGACTCAGAAAGGACTTAAAAAGTTAAAATACTATTGACTTTAAAAGCTTTCCCAATAAAATATATCTTGATAAACATGTAAAAACAATTTCATGTATTTTTGACTTTTTTTTTTGTCAAAGCTGGTTGCTGCAAATTTCAGTTGTCTTATGGAAGGACACAGTCCACTGTATAACCCAATTAAACAGTCCTCACTATCAAACTTGTCAGCTTAACCAGACGGTCTATCAAAAAAATCCCAACTTCATTTCTCCATGCTAAACCTGTTAGCACTAAACCTGTTAGCGCATGTTTTTCTGTGACATCATACTCACTCTGCACTCTAAATTCCAAGATGAAATGCAGAAAAAGAGTTTTAATGTGAGTTTGCCTTTTGAGAACAGATCAAAACAATGCCATGTCCATGGTTTGTGACTGGTGTTCTCTTTTCTTGGTTCTTAGGGGACTCTCCATTCTGACTTAATCCAGCTAAGGAGTTTTCTCTCACTTTCATTAACAGAAGGAAATTTTCTGTTAAATAATACAACTCCCATAATACCTTTTACCTCAGCAATTTCCTAAAGGGGTGTGTCCTGAGTTGCACAACACTGCCTGAAAGGAGTCTGAGACACTGACTGGGTTTGTTTTCTTTCAAACTCCTACTTCCTGAAACCAAAGCAGTTTATGAGACGCAGTGTGTTTCAAAAAGGTTGTGCCGGAGTTAACAATTTTCAGAGTCAGATTGGCTGGCCTGAAAGTGTTTTTCCTCCTCTTCAACATAAAAGTGAGTATCAGACCTCAAATGAAAAATTACAGTAGATGTAGGTACAATGGATGCATCATTTATATGGAAGTATCTTTTTTTTCAAATTGTAGAATACAATTTCCACTTCCTGGTTTTGTCCACATTTAAATAACATTGGAGCTCTAAGAGGATTTGCACTTCTAGAAACTTCTTAGAAGGGGGAAAGGTAGGGAGGAGAAGAGAAAAGGGCTATTGCAACAAATGTAAAGAGGAGAAAATGAACCTGTTTTTTCAATAAGGTTTTAATAGCAAGGTTCTTATGTCACAGAGCTTGTTAGACCTGCTAATGATCATCTGACTTTATCCATCACTAAATACAGATGTTTGATGACAGCATTAAAGGACTGTGGGAATTACTTGTTTGAAAACTTAGCCCTGGGATTTTCTCTTGGAAAACATAGGATATGACCATAGAAACTATCACTTTTATGACAGTATCAGTAATTTTGCCAGGAAGCAGGTGGATAAAAATCGCTTTCCATAAATGGGAAGAACTGACAGGAATTTTGGGTGTGGACAAGCATTATGGGAAAAGGAAGCATCTAGAAAAATTAAATTCCTTTGTGTGCCTAGTTAGAAGACTCTTCTTATTAAGAAACTGTAGTGTTTGAACTTAGAGCTCTAGCTTACTCAGGAAAACCACAAATTAAAACCTTCAAAATAGTTTGGGATTTACAGGTGGGCGAGGGCACAAACAGAGGCAGGACCACAGTACACTGGCGTCTCTGTTTGTAGTTCTTGCTTCAGCGCCTCGATGTCTCTCTTGGCTTTTTGTTTTGTTTTTTTACTTCATACCTCTACTACTACTATAAGAAGCAATATCCACTTTTATCTGGCTGCCGCATCATCAGTAAGAACATTTTAAATCCTTACGTGTTTCCCTGCCACTGCCCAGGTCCACACATGAGCTTAATTTATGATTACCTCCATGCTCTTGCTTCTCCTTTCCTCAAATGGGATTGGACTGTAGAGAGCATTAGTAACTGAAACACAGTCTGTGGGCCTCCATGTGTAGGTGGTATGCCAGAAAATTACTTGTCTATAAGGTGTGCACAGTTTTGATAGGGGTGGAAGTCAGCAAATTATCACTTGTGAGAAATGTATCTGAACAAATGCCAGGTCAGGTCTTATGTGTACTGACCAAAACGATGGGCTTCTCTCTTCTCACCTCCTTCCCAACCCTGTCATCCTCTAGTCTGGAAAGAACCAAAATACCAAAATTAGTTTAGAAGTAACCTAGAGTCTGAGATGAATCATTTAAGTTCTTCCCCTAATAAGTTACCAAAAATGTATTGCTTCCCTACTTTCATGAATAGAGAGCCAATAATTACTTTAAACTTCTAAAATACATATTTTAAGAAAAGTCATGCACATTATAAAATCTCACATAAATTAATACGGTGGGGTGAACGTGGCTGGTCTGTTACACCGTAACAATACCCTCAGTAAGTGCCACGACTAGGTTTGGGTTTCATCCCTGAAATTCTCCTTAAGAATAAATGTGTGTTGGGTTGGGGACATGGCTCAAGTGGTAGAGTGCTTGCCTAGTAAGCAAGAGGTCAATGCTGACAAAAAAAAAAAAGCCCAAATCCCAGTGCCGACAAAAGAAAAGAAAAAAGTGTGCATTTTTAAGATATTTCTGAAATTCCATGGCTTCTCCCATTACAAAGAATCTCATTGAGCCTTTTCCCTGAATGTAATGTACATCCTGCTATTACTACTCCTTAATCGAATTCCGAAAATGATGGCTTTGGGGCATAAACTTGGGAGGAAGAATGGTAGTATCAGCTCAGGAAGTGCTAAGTAAAAATCTGAGTCAGTATCAATCAACTTATACTTAAAATTTTAATACACTGGTACAGTTATAAATGCAGGAATATTCTAACAGTCATTGCTGTCTTATAGCAATAGAGTAATTGCTTCTCTTTCTCTCTGTATATAATATGATATTATGTTAGCTTTTAATATTATTATATAAATATACTTATGTTACTTTTTTGAGAAAGCTAATAGAATTCATTACAAAAAAATAAAAATAAAAAGCTAATAGAATTCAACCATGCTTGTTGCATCAAGCATGGTTGGTTGGTTCACACCTATAATCCTAGCACTCAGGAAGCTGAAGCAAGAAGATTGCAAGTTTGAGGCCAGCAAAGCCTTCTTAAAAAAAAAAGCAGCAAATCCAAAAACTTCTATGCTATACACTAGTAAAACTATTCTGACTTTGGAAGGTAAATCTTTACCTTGTCTTTGACACACAGCTATCCAACTATGTGAGAGAGGAGGAACTAAGTCTCAGTGCTAGAACACAGGTGCAGGAGTCACAAAACATGGGAGGAAACGCCAGTCAACGCACTAATACAGACTTGAAATACTTGGGACTACAAGTGTTTGGGAGTTTGGAATTATTTGTTTATTTAATTCATTTATTCACATGTGCATACATTGTTTGGGTTATTTCTCCCCCCTGCCCTCCACCCCCACCCTTTCCCCCCCACACCCTCCCTCGTTTCCAGGCAGGACCTGTTCTGCCCTTATCTCTAATTTTGTTGAAGAGAAGACATAAGCATGATAAGAAAGACAAAGCGTTTTTGCTAGTTGAGTTAAGGATAGCTACACAGAGAGATTCCTAACATTGCTTTCATGTACAAATGTGTTACAACCCATGTTGATTCATCTCTAACTGATCTTTACACTGGTTCCTCATCCCCTTCTCATGTTGACCTCTGTTGCTTTAAGGTTTCTGTGTTAGTTCCTCTGGAGTGGGGACATCAAACACCTTCATGTTTTGGGTTTTCTACCTATCCCCATGCCTCCCGTATGTGCTCTCCCCTTGTCATGTGACCCAAGTCCAACAACATTGCTGTATTTGCCCTAGATCTAAAGTCCACATATGAGAGAGAACATACGATTTTTGGGCTTCTGAGCCTGGCTAACCTCGCTCAGGATGATGTTCTCCAGTTCCGTCCCTTTACCTGCAAATGATTAAGATTTCACTCTTCTTCATGGCTAAGTTTTCCATTGTGTATAAATACCACATTTTCTTAATCCATTCTTCAGTACTGGGTCATCTTGGTTGTTTCCATAACTTGACTATTGTTTGTGAATAGGGCTGCAAAAAACATGGGTGTTCAGGTGCCTCTGGAGTAACCTGTGTCACATTCTTTTGGGTATTTCCCTAGAGTGGGATTGCTGGATCATATGGCAGATCTATGTTTAGATTTTTAAGCAGTCTCCAAATTTTTTTCCAGAGTGGTTGTACTAGCTTGCATTCCCACCAGCAGTATATGAGGATTCCTTTTTCCCCACATTCTCATCAGCACCTGTTGTCATGATGCTATTTTTTTGATGATGGCTATTCTGACAGGGATGAGGTGGAATCTTAGTGTGGTTTTGATTTGCATTGGAGTTTGGAATTTTTTTAGTTTGACAATATTCGTATATACTGAATGAAATAACTTGGAGAAGAGGTACAAATCTAAATATGACATTTACTTATGTTTAACACATACTTTATACACATAGCCTGAATACAATTTCATACAATGTTTTCAAAGTGCCTGCATTTTAACTGTGACTCATCACATGAGGTCAAGTGTGGAATTTCCAACTTGTGGCGTCATTGTCAGGTCTCAAAAATTCTCTGATTTGGAGCATTTTGGATTTTAGATTTTCAGATTAGGGATCCCCAAGAAAAGCTGCTTTTTCTTGGGATGGTTGCTTCCATAGCTTTTACTGCAGTCTACTTATTTGTTAGTTTGAAGACAATGAAAAGGAAACATTACCTAACCAGTGTCTTGTCCTATGTGTTCCCATGACTTGGCTTCATTCATTTATATTTGCACAGAGTGTACCTAACTAGATTTAATTTTGTTCTATCTTCTCATGTTCCTCTTGCATCTCAAAGTGTGTCACTGGCTTGCCCAGAAAAGCACTGCTTAGAATCTTAACCTGATGGCGAAACATCACATTTTTTCCTTGGGGTTTCTCCCTCAATGCAGAGCACCAAAAACTCTGCTGAATTGCTAATGAAAGTTTGTCCATTCATCATTGTCCTTCTGTTCTATAAAAAAAGTTTTGCACTTCATCATGCTTCCTTTTAGTCACATCCTCACAATACATAATGTCTAATTATAGTCCGGACAGTACAAGCATCATTTTCCAAAATAACTATCACTACTTAGAAATTTTCTGCTTTGCATCATGCCTTGGGTAATTATTGAGAGACAATAATACACTATTCGCGAGTAACATCTCTTCTGGGATATTGATGAATCAGGTTTGATGGACACTTTTGTAAGTTGCAGAATACTTAATTAGCCCTCTGAGCCCAGACTCCCTCCACCCTAAGTCTCCCTCTTCCCTGGTGGACAAGAGGTGTACACAAGGAAGCAGGTAGGCAGCAAAAGGCACAGCTCACCAGGGCAGCTAAGCAGCTCTTAGAAACACCCTCCCCTTGTCAATTCTGCTCCGTACAAGCTCCCATCGGCTCATGCAGATAAGCTTAGGAACCTCGTCTTTCTAGCTGTCCTTGTAGAACCTTCTCTGAATATATTCCCATTCAATAAAATGAACTCATACCACATTATACCCAAACTGATGTTCTCAACAGAAACTCCATCAAGGACTTCACTATCAACTTGTAGATCATTTTCACCCTGTCATTATCCATTTCCAGTGTCTTCGTAGACAACATAACCCTGACTCCTTAGCCTTTTCAATCCAGTATTCTCTCCCACATTCAGCTGGTGATCACTGAGACACTGTGGCTCTCACATTTTATTCCACCATATCTGCCCTGATGTTTTTCACCTCTACTCTTGTTATTCCATCTGTCAATACCTGTAGGCTCTAGTCAATCTTGCAATATAAGGGCTTAATAAATTCTGTTAGTATTACAACAACCATAACCACTACCATCTCCACCACTATGATTTTTCAACTACCATTTCTATTAATACTAAATTTTTACTGGTTTC